ACTTCCCATCCAGCTCCCTGCTTGTGGCCTGGGAAAGCAGTCGAGGACGGCCCAACGCCTTGGGACTCTGCACCTGTGTGAGAGACCCAGAAGAAGTTCCTGGATCCTGGCTTTGGATTGGCATAGCATGGGCCATTGCGTTCACTTGGGGAGTGAATCATCGGACAGAAGATTTTCCTCTTTGTCTCTCCTCCTCTCTGTATATCTGACTTTGCAATAATAAATAAATCTTTAAAAAAATAAATAAATGTGAGGAGGAGGTTATGGAACCTACAAGTTAGAGACTGTAGGTCAGGAGAAGGGTTGTAGTGGCATCTGAAAAAGGGGTGAGACTGTGTGAGACTGCGTGCTCTCCTGGGGTCCTCACCAATCCCTGGTAGCTGTAGTCAGGATTGCATTGGACCACAGGACACTCAGCTGGTGCCAAGAGCCGGCCAGTGTCAGGGAACCTCCAAGAAGCTATAATCACCAAGCATGTTCACTTCTCTAAGAAGGGGAAATTATTGGGTTCAAGACTCGGCTCTCTTAGGAGAGAATTTTCTAGAAGCCTCCAAGGTTCCAGCTGCAGAGGGTCTGAGGGTGGCAGAGTCCGACACTGGGCAGCCTTGTGGTAGAGCTGTGCCCCTCTCAGCTCACTGCTCCCACAGCACCTGCCGGGCCTCTCTCGGAGGCCGACCATGACTCTGCCTTCTCATGCAGGAAGTGTGGGTTGTTGTGAGTCATCGCTATCCTTTACTGTGTCATTGTCCTCCTTCCCGCTTCCTCATTGCCCCAGCCTGCCCAGGGGCCAGTCATCCCATGGGGTGACTGTTTCACATCTCTCCTGACATCAGCTCCAGCTTTGAGCCCCGACTCTTGCCCATGGTGATTCTTTGTTATTATTATTATTGGAAAAGCAGGTTATATTTGTGGAGAGAAGGAGACAGAGAGAAAGATATTCTCTCTGTTGGTTCGCTCCCCAAATGGCTGCAACAGCCAGAGTTGAGCTGATCTGAAGCCATGAGCCAGGAACCTCCTCCAGGTCTCCCACATGCTCACAGGATCCCAAGGTTTTGGGCCATCCTTCTCTGCTTTCCCAGGCCACAAGCAAGAAGCTGGATGGGAAGTAGAATAGCCGGGACACGAACCTGTGCCCATGTAGGATCCCCTGGCATTTGCAAGGTGAGGATTTAGCCATTGACCCATTGCAGGGCCCGCCAAAGATGATTCTATCTTTGCCTACAATCCATTTGCTTTCAGGCAGCGAGGAGGAGAGAAGACAGTGGTGAATGCATCATCATTCATTCATTCATCACACATCACTGCGGTGTTCTAAGCCCTGTGGGCCATAGCGACATGTCACTGTCTTCCAAAAGCTTGCCATCTGTTGAGCGAAGCAGAGATAAATCATACAAGCAGCAGATGTCAGTAAAGGTGGGTCCAAAAACACTGCACCAGGGCCCACAGGAGTATACCTCCCCCACAGAAGCAAGGCAGGCTTCCCGGAGGAAGTGGTGTTTGCATTGAGATTTGAAGGATGAATAGGAGTTCCCTCCTTTAAGAATGGATGGTAGCTGCATTGTAGCCTCAGAGCACAGAAGTGTGAGATGAGCTGGTGCCTTCGCGGGGCCAGGACCCAACCTACGCAAGTAAAGACTCAGGGACACAGGCTGGTTGTGCTGAGTTCAGGCAGGCCATCCCTAGACCAGGGATGAGGTCCTAGCCTTGGGACAAGGTCCCAGGCATGATGGGAGATGGTCAGGAGCCAGTAGGGTTGCCCAGAGTCCCAGTGAAATCCACTGTTACTGTAAAGATCATATGGGATAATGTGTGTGTGAAGTGCTTGGCTCAGAAGCCATGTTCCTAAGTGGTAGCCATCATTGTTATCATTGGCCTGCGGAGTTGGCCTCATAGAGAGAACTGGAAGTGCCTCCATCCGAGCGAGGGCCCATGGAGGGTGCCAGTTAGGGAATGGCTACCTCCTTCATGCTGGCAGTTCTTACTCTTCTATGGGCGACAGGCCCACAAACAGACCTTCTTGCCAGCAAAGCGCCTATCTGCTCCTCCACTTATAACGCCTTCTTCTTAACATTCATTGAATTATGTTGGAAAACCAGATTTACAGAGAGGAGAGAAAGAGAAAGATCTTCCATCCACTGGTTCGTTCTCGAAGTGACTGCAACGGCCAGAGCTGAGGCGATCCAAAGCCAGGAGTTTTTTCTAGGTCTCCCACAAGGGTGCAGGGACCCAAAGCTTTGGGCCATTCTTTACTGCTATCCCAGGTCACAAGCAGGGAGCTGGATGGGAAGTGGAGCTGTGGGATGTGAATTGGTGCCTATGTGGGATCCTGGTGCTTAAAGGTGGAGGGTTAGCCTATTGATCCACGGCACCGGCCCCTACTTGTAATTTTTTTTAATTTTAAGATTTATTTATTTATTGGAAAGTCAGATATACAGAGAGGAGGAGAGACAGAGAGGAAGATCTTCTGTCGGATGATTCACTCCCCAAGTGAGCGAACGGCCGATGCTATGCCGATCCAAAGCCAGGATCCAGGAACCTCTTCCGGGTATCCCACCTGGATGCAGGGTCTCAACTGCTTTCCCAGGCCACAAGCAGGGAGCTGGATGGGAAGTGGAGCTCCTGGGATTAGAACTGGGGCACATATGGGATCCCGGCACTTTCAAGGCGAGGACTTTAGCCGCTAGGCCATGCTGCGGGGCCCCCCTACTCATAATTTTTGAGACCTCACAGATGCTGGAAGCCTGGCCAGTTGCAAAGCTGAACACAGCTCTTACTCCCCAAACCCAACTCAGTGGGAAGTTCTCACTGTTACCTAGCTGATTGCAAGGAGGGAGCCAGCACCAGGAGGAGGCTGGGAATCTCCTGGCTATGAAGATAAGTGCAGTGGGCTGCGGAATGGATGGGGTGGGAGCAAGCTGCTAGGAGAGGAGGTCCCTGGAACAGAGCCAGGGAAGCAGGCAGGTGGAGTGGGCATGTGTGCTCAAGGGTTTTCCCTGTGTCTCTTTTAGTGTTTTTAGTTGCTGTTTATTTATTTGCATTTCTTATTGGGAACCAGAGGGAAAAAAAATTTCTGTCTTCTGCTTTACTCCCCAAATGCCCACAATAGCTAAGACTGGGTTGGGAATACTGGGTGGGGGATACAATCTGGGGGTGGGAGGTACAATCCAGGTTTCCCACGGGGGTGGCAGGGGCCCAAGGACCTCAGCCACCATCTGCTACCTCCCAGGGTGTGCAGAAACTGGACGGGAGGAGCTGGGACTTGAATTCAGGCATTCTGATAGGAGATGCGAGCTGCAAGCCTCCCAAATGGCAACCTGACCACAGTGCCAACCACCTGCCACCTCATATTAATTTTTTTTCAAATCAGGAGCTGTGCATTTTCATTTTGCACCGGGGCCCACAAATGATGAAGTCAGTCCTGGGAGAAGACATTGATGCATTGAGGAGCTTATGATGGTACAAGCAGCAAGCAAGCAACAGTGCTAGGATGGAACGAGGGCTGTTGGGGGTCAGGACTTAAGCTCTGCACTCCGTGAGAGCAGGGAGGAAGGGAAAGACTAAGGAACATCGAGTGTTTTCTCCGGAACATTCTACCCAGTGCCTCCGCCTGCCTCCTATTGTCCTCACAGGAGGCGTTCCTGGTGACCCTGGGCCTAAGGAATACTCTCAGCCTGCTCAATTTCACCGTATCATCTTTCAAGGCACTGATCTGAACTTTCGTTGTTTTCATGGGAACCCTTCAGGGGTTTGCACCCTGCCCTCCACCCAAAGTCCAGCGGGTGGGAGGGAGGGGCTTCACAGACCCTAGCTGGCCGGTGTGGGTTGCAGAAGCTAAAGACAAGATCAGCCGGGACAGGGAGGTCCCACGGGGAGAACAGCAGGTTCCCACTGGGGTGATGCTGCCAGCCAAGGCGGCCGAGGAAGTTTGGAGAGGGCAAGGCTGATGAGGTGGACTTGGGGCTGGGGTCTGCCTGGCGTTTGAAGTGGTTTGAAGGCCCAGTTCCTCCTCCCTGCTGGCTCAATCCCTCCTCACTGCCGCCTGGTTTGAGCCGGCCACGCCCGGCAGCAGACCTCTGCCCTCACCTGTCACAGGCATTTTCTTGGGAGCCCATGGGCTCCCAGGGCTCCCAGACGGAGTTGCATGTCTTATCTCTGACTCCAGCCCCCTCCCTCCCCCGGGAAGAGTGCACGCAGTCAAGGAGCAGGAAATTCCAGGGACTGGGGAACGGGGCTGGGCACTCAGGAGGAGAGAGGTTGGCAAAATAGAGAGAAAAAGTCGGAACCGTCCCAGGGCGAAGAACTGGGGTGACAGCCGCGCTCTTGCGCCTTAGACGGAGGCTAGGACTAAATTCAGAGAGTGCATCCTCTCTTCACAGCAACAGTGAAAACGGCGTTCTTACTTCACTTTGTTCAGGAGAAAAGTGACGCCCCAGAGAGGTGGGGCAACTTGCCCAAGGTCACACAGCGAGTGAGCAGCGAAGTCCGCATCAGTCCCAGAGCTGTCAGCCCCCAAGCCGCACTTCTACAGCTCGCTCCCAGCTCCCCTTCCACCCTCCCCCATCCTTCCCCCTCCTTTCCCTTCCCGCGGCCGCCCCGCCCCACCCACCTCTCCCTCCCTCCGGGTGGCGGCGACCGAGCCACGTGGTGGGGCCGGGAAGCCGCGGCCGCCCAGTGCCCGGGCGGCTGCCCAGCCTGGGTAGTGTTGAGCTGCGCTGCGCCGCGCTCGGTACCTTCGCTCCGGGCTCTGCGCTCCCCGCCAGCCGCCCCGGGGCAGGAGGTGCACCCGATCGCCGGCCCGCCACACAAAGGAGGCCCGGCGCGGCAGAGCCAGTGCGCCGGCGGCCAGACCATGGACTCGGAGCGCGGGCGGCTGGTCCCAGCCCTGGGGTCCTGGCGCTCCGGGGCCCGGCCCTAGGCGCTCCCGGGGCGCCCAGCGGAGAGGACCCGGAGCCCGCGCGGTGAGGAGGAGGCGACGGCCGCCGAGCGAGAGGGGACGCCGCGGCGGGCGGCCCGCGCGGCCCCAGAGCCATGGGCAAGTGCAGCGGGCGCTGTACGCTGGTCGCCTTCTGTTGCCTGCAGCTGGTGAGCACCGCGCGACCGGGGCAGGGTGGGGCGCGGTGGGGCGGGGTCCGGGGTGTGCGCCCTGGGCTGTAGACCCCCGGCTGTGGGTCCGGGATGAGCGCCTGGTCGAGGGATGGGGGGTAGTCCGGAGTCACGGAGCGGACGGGCGGAGCCTGCTCCCGCTGGCCCGGCTGTCTCTTTGTGTGCGCTCCTCGGCTGTGCCCGGCGCTCCCCCGCTGCCGCACGCACAGCACCGCGCGTCCTGTGCGTGGCTCCCCGGCCCGCCCCGTGCCTGCCCCACGGTGCAAGTGGCCTCCTGTCGAGGGGACGCGCTGAGAGGCCGGCTCTCCGGGGCTGGGGGTGTGTCCGAGCCTGGCGATGTGTTTTCCCTCTGGATTGCGCGTCGGTGTGGGTCTCTCCCGGGGGGCGGGGGTGTCTCTGTTTCCCGTCTCCACCCGGGGGTGAGCGTCACAAAAGTGTCCGCTCCCGCGCGCGCCCCTCTGGATTCTTCGTTCGTGGATTTCTAGACCTTTGACCGTTTCTGGTCCGAGTCTACAGGCGTGTGGTGGGATCTTAGACTCCAAGGTCCGCCCAACCTTCTTTGTGCAGTTTCTGCCCCTGCTCTCCCTCCTGGGTGGACAGCCTGGGAAGTGGGGGGACTCTCCTCCCCGGGAGGGGTCATGAGGAGCTGCCAGGGCCTGGCTGACCTCACTGGACGCTGCACCTTACTCCCAGCTTGGGTCTGGCCACCGAGGCGATGGGATCATCTCCCAGTCATCTGTCCATCAGATCACAGGGGACAGGGTGACCAGCTCCTCTCCCTGGTCTGGCACCAACTGGGTGGGCATATCTGGTGCTTCTGGGAGTGTTCAGGGCAGCTTGTGCCTCTCTCCTCTTGCCCCCACTCCCAGGTTAGGGAACTCAGATCCTTGTCTCAGGAGGCTAGAAGGGTGAGTTTGCAAGCTGGGGGTCAGTGACTGCCTTTGCAGGCAGGCCCTGGCCAGTGAGAAGGTGGCTAAGGAGGAATGTTAAAGTGGATCTCCTGCCCATCCTTCAGCCCAGGTCCATCAGCAGGGGACCAGGCAGAGAGTGAAGGGAGTCCTGAAGAGTGGGAGTGGAGGAAGCTGGACTTGATGACCTGGGTCTCCTCTCCTGCCCCCAATCCTCACCCTCCCCTGCAGGTGCAAACAATCTGTGAAGCCCCAGATATGGCATGCAAACTTCAGCTTTTCCTCTTGGGGACCCCAGCCCCAAACATGCCATCCTCCTGTCCTTTTCATCCATGACACGCACAGCCCTGGCTCTGAGCATCCTTACTTTACTGCCAGCCCCCTCCTGTCAGGAGGCTGCCCTGGGCTGCTTGTCTGAAAAATGCGGGTGTCCGAGACCTGCAGAGGGCAGAATGTAAACTCCAGAAGGGCAGCGATTGCTTGCTGCTGGCACTCTGGTGATCATTGTAAAATGAGCAAATCTGGGATTTGACGGTTCCTAGCTCATGGCAGAAACACCTGTCTTATCTACTTGGAGGAACAAACGAGGCTAAGAAACAGAGATAGCTCAGAGGACTATTTTTATGTTTGCCAGTTTTGAAAATCTTGAACTAGAAAGGCTTCTTAGAAAAACGAATATATCTTGTAACAATGAATAAATCAGTAGATAATCAGAGCAGAAGATACAAGGAAGGCCCGTCTTCCCTAAGACAACTGCCCCATGCCCATCCTCCGTGGGCACTGATAACCACGCTCAACCTGGGGGAGTACACACCCGTTGCCCGCTTTTCCCAGTGGCAGCTTGTTAAATTCTCCCTGAGAAGGATCCTGAGAAGTAACTTACCCAGAGCTGTACAGGAGTGGAGCCTCAGACTTCGAAGCAGCTAGCTGATCCTCTGTCACCTTTGTTGTTATAAAGTGCTTAGTTCTGGCCTGGTAAGTCCAGAACTCCTCGGCTGGTAGTTACGGCTCTGCAGAGAAGGGAGGATGGCAGGGCGGGGGTGAGGGGTGGAAGGGGGTGGCCTCTGTGCCTGCCCGGCTCTTCCCCAGCCAGGCTGCACCTGCTCCTCCACATAGCTGCAGTGGGTGGAGAATTTCTGGCCCATGGGCTGTAGAAAACAGGTGAAATCCTTTGATCTGGCCCTGCCAAGGCAACCATAGGCAGGACTCAAAAATCCAATACCCGTTGTTTTTAAGTTGATCATTTTTGCTGCTATATTTACACGATCCTCGGGAGAAAACTGGTTGTCCGTTGCTGATTTTATTGGCATGAGGAGGGACTCAGGGTGGGCTTTGGGTTCTCCTGCCTCTTGGTCTGCTGACTTCTAGCAGCTTGAGAGACTTATGGGAGAGAATTGGGGAGAGGGGAGCAAACTGATCTTTGGATCCTGTTGCTGGATTGAGCTGATCATAGAAGTCCCTCCTGTGTCCGCACTCCCCAAGGGCCTCTGCTACTGGGTGGCAGCTTTCATCCTGTTCTCTGGGACCCTGGATATCCCCAGCCACAGCACGGGAAGGGGAACTCTGTTTTCTCATCCAGTTCCCTTGGGAAGGTGGGGAGAGGTGGGGCAGGGAAGAGAGCCAAGTGTTTTGCATCTGAAAACCTGAGAGGGGCAACTGTGCACCTAATCCTTTCCAATGCTGCTTCTGGCTATGAGGAAGCTGGCCAGGATGGGCTTGCTTGAGTAAGAGAGTAGCAGGGACGCTGGCAGGGACAGTGTCACTTGGGTAGGGAGTATAGAGCAGTGGTTAAGATCCTGGAGTTCCACAGGACAGAGCTGGATTCCAGCCTTGGCCCCTCTGTCACCTTCTGCCTGCTCTTAGGTGAGTTGCTTGCCCTTTCTGAACCACAGGTTTTTAAATCGTCTGTTTAATAGAGCTCACATCAACAGCTCCCTACACTAAGTGTTGCTGTGAGGATGAAACCCACATAACGGACCCAGCATTGCGCCAGGTACAGAATGAGTGGTTAGGAAATGGCAGCTTTTAATTTTTATTGTAATGATGCATGCCATGGGTGACCACCCTGGAGTTGTGGCTCACATGCATCCGGGGGCTGCCTGCATGTCCTCTGTGGGAAGCAGCTGGTCATTGGGCATCGAGTGTGAGAGGGCGGAAGCCTAAAGTCATAGCTTGGCCACCAACATCCTGTGCATTCGGCAAAGTCTCATCTCGCTCGAAGCCTTGGTTTTTCTGTCTGTCCAATGGGAAGAACAAGGGGTCTGGCTCCCTAGGGCCCTGTCAGCTCTGCTGACACTGGGGCTGACATGTGGACGGCCAGGGAGGTTTCTTTGCACCTTGGTCTGCCTGGTTCTGTCCTTTCCCAGGGCTCTGCTGCCTCCTGGGGACATTGTTAACATGCTTCTCTCCCTCTCCCTCCTTTGGCCAGATCCTGCACTTTCATCTTAGTTTGCCTCTTTCCTGAAACCTTCCAGACTGTTGCATTCTTCCAGTAAAGGGATGAACCCGGGTTTGCCCTAGGGAGTCATCATCAATTTCTTCATCATCATCATTATCACTGCCGTTGCAGGAGTCTTGTGCTAAGCACTTTCTATGCATTACCTCATTTAACCAAATGAGCTTACATATGTAGAGTGCTTGGCATCCTGCCTGGTCTGGGTTAAGTGATCAATAAACTTTCGCTCCTTCCCTATTTTCAGCTTTACTAATGTTGTGCCTCTCAGTGGGATAGAGGTCTTTAGTATTCCATTTTGAGGAAACTGAGGTTCTTTGGAGAGATGAGATTGGCACGAGGTCGGGGACAGCACGCGGGTAGGAGTGCCGATCTGATTGGACAGAGAACCCCACTGCTGCTGCTCCACTCCAACCAAGATGTGACCTGAGCCGCGTCCCAGCCTCAGTTTCTTTATCTGAACTTGAACCTGATTATTATTTCAGTAGGATAATACCTCGTGCCTGACATACGCACCATGTGCTCCATAACGTGTCACTGCCGTTAGTACTCCAGGTGACCTTGAACGTGTGCCCTCTCTACTCCCTGGAGTGATCCCTACCCCACCCACCCATAGAAGAGACTTCCTTAGCCATGCGCCCAGCATGCCATTGGTACTCAGATAAGCCTCACTTTCCTTCATTCCCCTTCTGAAAAGCTCTTTGCTTTCTGGAAGATGGTGGGTGGTTAAGGGGACCATCCCGGCCCTGGCTTGCAGCTTCCAGCTGAGCTGCGAGTAATGGTGTGAAACCCGGTCAACCTGATTGATGTGGTTATTAGCTGCTGTGATGGTGAAGGCCAGAGAGAGCTGGGCTCCGCGGGGGCCTCCCTCCCCAGCAGCTGTGCCTGCAGGCTCCTGGCTTGCTCTGGAGGTCCTTGGCCAGGCTGCAGAGAATGGGCAAGAAGAGTGCCTGGGCTGTTGGCCCCTTTTCTTCTTTGTTCTTCTGTGAGTGAAGTGGCACTGTCCATCCTTGCTGCAGAAGGGCAGCCTGAGGCTAAACAGCCTTTGTGGCCCTTGGGAGGTGGGGATGGTCCTGTTTCTGCTCCAGGGTGGACAGGGGTGTGGATGCTTTGTAATGTAAATGGCCACAGTGGGGGTGGGGCTGGGGGAGTGGGGTGGTGGGGTGGGGAATAGTGTTAAGAACACTGCTTTGCTTTGTGACTTCCAGAAAGTTCTTCAGCCTCTCTGAGCTCCCGCCTCTCATCTGTGAAGTCCCCCCATGGCAGTGTGAGAGGAAGCCTGGACAATGCCCAGTGCAGCGCTGGCCCAGGTGGTTGCTGTATGTGTCGCTCTTAGACTTGGCCCCACCTTCACGCACCTGAGAGGCTGTTAGTGATGGAGGTCATGGTTGTAAATACTCCAAGTCTTCATTTCTCATACGGAAAACGTGGGGCTGGTGCGGAACGATGCAATGATGATCTCCTTTGTCTGCTGTGTGCCAGGTCCTGTGCCAGGAACCTGAGATGCCTTATTCCTTGCTCCCCTCTGACTTGCCTATGACCACCTAAATAGTGGCTACAGATTGAAACCTGGACCTGGGGCACCAAGGCTTCTGTGCTGTCAGGGCTGCTGCTAAGGG